TCATTGTATGTGCAATCAGCTAGCTACACATCCTCGGGTCCTTTCTATAGGCTTTGGATTCCATCTCTGTAAAATGAACATGATAATATTTACCTGACAGGGTCATTGAAAAAATTAGATGGCATGTTAGACAGTGACTAACAGAGTAAGGTCCTATTATTATCACATTTAAATATGCACATATGATTTATGACCATCCTAGCTACTCATTACTGCAATCAAATCACACCAAAAATTGTGGCTTTAAAGATGTGATTAAAATGAACAAATATTATCTCATAGGGTCTGTGCCTCAGGAACTCAGGAGCTGGGGGTTCTAACCCACAGTCTCTTAGATGCTGGCAGGGGCTCCAGTTCTCTTCTCTGAAGGTCCAACTAGATTGGAATCTTCTTTGAAGATGGCTCACTTGTATCTGTTAGCAGGAGCCTTTTAGTTCTTGTCACAGAGATATTCTTGTTGATTGCTTAAAATGTCCCTAAGACATGACAACCATCTTCCCCCCAAAATAGGCAATATGAGAAAGAAAGAGCGAGGAGAGAGATGTGTCACACTTTATGACAGTCTCTCAAGTCTCATGTCACCACCTTGTTCTGTTCCTTAAGAAGGAGTCACTGGGCTGGAGAGACGGCTCAGTGTTAAGAGTACTGACTGCTCTTCCAGAGGACCCTGATTCAATTCCCAACAACCACATGGCAGCTCACAACTCTCTGTAACTCTCTGTAAGATCTGACAGTCTCACACAGACATATGTGCAGGGAAAAACATAGCAATGTGTATAAAAGAAAAATAAATAAATTATTAAAAAAGGAAGGAATTACTATATCCAGTTCCCATTCAAGGGAGAGGGAGTGAAGGGGGCTGGTGGCAGGAGGTGAACATATTTTATGACCGATGCGCAGAGCTTCTCTTAGGCACACATGGTAACTGTGCCCCATGCATTGTCTTATCACAGATTGCCCTTTTCATTTACTAGAAAACCTTGGCAACTTTCCATGTCCACATATATACTAGTGTCACCCTCTGTCTCACTGTGGCTGGCTTCATCCTGTTAGATTTAGAGACTTATGTTTTCCTGTATTTCTGGCTGAAGCAGATACTTAAAACAAGGATCTTCCTGGATAAAGGGAGCCTGGAGGAACAATGGGCCTCCTTAATATGTAACTAGAAAGTTCTGTTTTGTAGCCTTTCTTAGTTTGAAGTTTGTTATCTGAAAATGTCTGGTCCCAGGAAAGAGGGGTGGAATTGGCTCTTATGGGAATTGTGAAAGCAGAAAGACTATAGAAGGGTGTGGGAGAGTCTGTGAGCCTCTTCAAGGCAGCTGGAACATCTGTGCGCTAACACCAGTGAAACCCTGGTGCTAGGGCCTGTGCCTGGAACTCAAGAGACAGCCCAGAGCACCAGCCTTTCAGAGAGTCCTATCTTCAGAAGCACAGATAACCTGACTTGGATGGTTCTCTAGACACGTAGCAAGAAGACAGGTTCATCATCTCTAGACAGAAATTACTTTGATGTCCCCTCCCCCCCCCAATCACTGGGGAACAAGACATAGCAAAGCACTCTATGAAAGCTTAAGTGTAAAATTTATCATCATCTTTTTCTAGCTAGACACTCTTGTGTAGGGTCAGGGTAGACATGCTTGCACGTATTCTTGCAGAGGATGACAGGAAAAACCTCCCACGGGATGAGAGCTGGATCCGGGCACATTATCCAGGCAGAAGAAAAATAGCTACTAGAAAGTGAAGTGGTTCTTTAGTGAAGTGGAGAGGAAATATGTTAAGAATCTCATGCTGGTATAGGAAGACCTTGAGGGTTTTTTTGTTTTTTTTTTTTTTGGAAGCGCGGAGGGTGGAGCATACTGAGTTTATGGAATGTATTGGAAGGAATGTTGTAGCCATTTCTAGAACCAACTTTGGGCCATGTGTGGAAGAATACCAAAGGCTGACTCAGCCCATAAAAAAATCAGAATTTTTTGATAACTATCACTAGGTCTGGGAGAGTCTTATGTATCCATCTATCTATCTATCTATCTATCTATCTATCTATCTATCTATCTATCTATCTATCTTCCTGAGTCAGGGCTTCTCTGTGTAGCCCTGGCTGTCCTGGAACTCACTCTGTAGACCAGGCTGGCCTGGAACTCAGAGATCCATCTGCCTCTGCCTCCTGAGTGTGTTTAAAGGTGTGCACCTGAATTTTTTTTTAGTAATAAAAGGTTCTCCTGGAGTTGGGTTTCAGCATTTGGTCTTTACCAAGGAAGCGACTTTCTGGCCTTTCATCTCTTGCTTTACAATACCATTCACTTTTCTGGGTTCTTATGAAGATTTAAATAAATCCACACGGGGAAATGCCAGACCCATACATCCACTAACACAGTTGCTCTCTCAGGACTGCCGCCACCACTGCTGTCCCTCTGACCAAGCCCACTCACCCCCTATCACTGCTGTCCTCAGAATCAACAAATCAAGGTTCCCATTGCTGTTGGTCTTCTCTGTCATAGATGCAGAAGACAAATCTCCCCTTAATGAGCAGGAGGGGGACTCAGAGCATTATACTTTTCTCTCTTCTTGAAAACAGATTGCCTTCCTTTGGGTCTTGGAAGGAACATCTGGCAGAAAAATTGGTCTGGCTGTTTAGGCCCTGGGAGATAGGGGAAAGGTTGTCTGCATCCCTCTGCCTGGTTCTGCAATCATGTTTGGGATTTCAGGGCCTTGGAGGGGGCGTGGCCCCTCTCTATGCTTCTGTACAGTTTGTAGGGCTGCTGTGTGCTTTCTGTCTGCTCGGAAGAAATTAGATTCCTTCCCTTTTGTTCCTCTTCCCTGAGTCTCTGAGTGAAAAGATTGCTGGTGTCAATTCAAGTCAGCTCAGGTAGTGGCTACAAGGCAGACACAGCCAGTGTGGAACCCTGTCCTTTGTCTCCATGTCCCCAGCCAGAGTGTCTGTCTCACTAATGAGCTCCATGATCCTGAAAGCAGTGCTTGCAATCACAAGGGATGCTGCTGTACCTTTCTTTCTAAAGCAGACTTCCAGCTTTTGAATATTGCCATGACTTATGTTACCGAGACTAATAAATCAAATAAAGAAGAAAAGCCATCCACAGTTGGCTCCCAGTACTGATACAGCCAGTGTCATTTTTTCTATGCCTGTTTATGTATTCTATTTTCAAGTAGGTATGCAAATCATCTTCCATAATATAGCCTTCGGTGGATTTGCATGAATTGATGAGTCAGCCGGTTTCTAGATGTTTTCAGTCTTTCCCTGAGGCATGATTTTCGTAGCTCTTAAACTCTGTGGTGGTGGTATCTATATTCATCAGTTAATTGAACCACTTTGCTGTTGGTGACCAGTGAGGTGGCTCACATTTTCCATGGTTACTAACAGTGTTGTGACTCACATGCGGCCCTTCCTGTTTTTCTTCATTGCTCTTCCCCAGGGCCAACATTTGACAAAGGGTTTGCTGCAAAGGCTGTACCCATTTGAGTGACTGAAAGAATTCACATTGCTAGCTGGCCTTCACAGAGAGGCTCTGTCATATGAAGGGTTTAAGGCTGTCTTATGACTTTCAAGGTGTGGCCAGGGGAGCCTCTTGACACAGTTCTGCACGATTGGCAGCCAGGCATGGTTATTCATATTTTGGAAGCTAAAAGACTCCCAGGTAGCCAAATGAAGTGAGATCCAATAGAGAGATTGCATGTGATAAAGTGATTAACTGTTTCTCAACAGTAATAAGGTGTCATTAACAAGAGAAAACAGGTGTCATTAACGAGAGAAAAGGACCACAGGAACTGCTTGAAGTTTGTCTTCTCTTTCCTAACTGGACTTTGTTTCTGTCTGATACGTAGTCATTGTATATTCACTGGATAGTAATTAGCTACTGATTACTGATTGTCCATTAGGACAATGGTCTGTTAGGCAATAAAAGCATGCTGTCAGCATACTGAGAAACAACCCCCTTTCTGCTATCTGTCCTGAGAGCTAGCCTCTGATGACTAGGAGTCCAGCTTGCCCCAAATTCTCAAGTGACCTAGCCAAGGCCACTTAGAGAATCAGTGGTCAAGTCAGAAATAGAAGCCAGGGCTTCCTGTGACAAAGGCTGTGCTGCTCTAAGACAGCTGGGCTCTTGCCACTGGCCACGCCACTCAAGTGTCCTTAGCTTTTCTATGAGAGCAGTGGGTTAGGGATCTGGTTCAAATGCAGGTTTCCATCTGATAGTCTGGGGTTGGGTCCTAAGTTTCTGTAGTCCTCAGAAGTTCCCAGATGTCTTCTTCTTTTTTTTTTTTTGTCTAGGATTGCTTTTGGAGCAGTGAGCAGCTAGAGAATCACTCAGTAAACAGCAGAGTAAGTGACCTAGATAAAGACAGGACTCATTGGCAAGTAGAGCGACATTTTAAATGCCGATGACTGAAAAGGGTGTTCTCGATAGTTGTGAGTCTTAAAGGTCACATCCTGTTTCTGCTAGAAACACCCGGAGGTGGGATCACTCAACTGGCCAGAAGGCGGCTCTTCAGACACACTCTTAAGAGTACAATTGGCTCCTTTATTGTATGGAAGAAGCCGAAGCAAGGCAGCCAGAATAGAGGGTTTAATATTCCAAAGGCGCTTCCAGTGTCCCCCAGGATCCCAATTAATCACCTGGAGAAAGACCAAGGAGTCTGGAATGGGAGGAGAACCTCACGCCACTGCAACGTCAGCCCTTAGCACTGCCAAAAGGGGTGAAATGGAGCCTGGGCACAGGAGCACAAGGCCTTGGCCTGCGAACTGTCTGCACTATAGGCTTGCCCACTCCCAAGTACAGGCAAAGGACGTCAGCATCACTCAGGAACTGGGCATGGAGCTTCGGTGGTTACTATTAACAGTTTTCAAGGCAAGGAGGTGGGGTTGAGGGGTGCTAGGCTGATTGGCGCCATGGAGGGATGAACACAGCAGACTAAGCAGGGCTAGCCCCGTGGCCAGAGTTGGAGGGTTGGGCATGCTTATTATTTCTTCAGATTTAAAACCAGGAAATGGCATCATTAAAGCTGGAATATGAGTCATAGGAAAGGATGGAGAGGTTGGGGAACCTGGTGTTTTTGAAACTATGCTCCCTAGATCTCCAAAGAGCCTATGAGAAGACATGTCGGGGCCACTGCCTGTGTCATGTATAAAGGGATGTGGTCGTTCATCCCGAGTTTTACATGTTTGGATTCTGAATATGATATATTTCTGTAACAGGGCTTATACTTAAAAATCTTTTTATTTGGCAGCTCAGAGGAGGGATGTAACTTCTCAGAGATTTGTAGCCAGCTTGTGACACAGCATGGAGGTACGTGCTCTGAGGGGGTGGATGACCACAGCGCTATAGGTTAAACAGGACTAAATGCCTTTGACACTGGCATCTTTTCCTTTAGGACAGCCTATTCATTTCTCTTCATTTCTCCAGTTTGGATCTCACCTCAAACCCAAATCAGTGCTGTTTATACCACGATCTGGGAAGAGAACCAGTAAATACCACCTCAGAAAGATTATCTGTGTGGCCCTCAGTCAATCCTTAATAGTTGCTCATTTAACTGGAATTCCCATAGTGGACAGGATTAGTTTTTGTATGAATTTGTGTCGGTGCATCTGAGAAATGATGGACTGGTTTCTAATTGTCCATTACACGAAGGATGAGCAACTTCACCAACCTGTGCTTGTGTTATAACCATGCTGTATAATGTAGACCACACACGAGTTAATGGGACCAGTCACTCAGTTTCTGGTTGTTCTCTTTGATAGATCAGGTACAAAGGACTGTGAGGAGACACTTTCTGAATCAGTTTAGGAGTCTTTTTATTTCCTCCCTTGTTCTTGTATCTGTGGTGGTCTCCACCAGATGGGGCTTATGCTCACCCAGTCCTGGGTCTGAGCTGTTGCAACATCAAAGACTATCTACACCTCACCATTTTACTGTGGAGAAAACAACTGCTTAAAAGAAAAGTACCAGCTGGGCGGTGGTGGTGCACACCTTTAATCCCAGCATTTGGGAGGCAGAGGCAGGCAGATTTCTGAGTTCGAGGCCAGCCTGGTCTACAGAGTAAGTTCCAGGACAGCCCGGGCTACACAGAGAAACCCTGTCTCGAAAAACCAAAAAAAAAAAAAAAAAAAGAAAAGAAAAGAAAAGTACCATACCTTCTGCCAAACCACTTCAAGACTGTACGGGACACTGTTTAAGACAGCAATATTCTAGAACTTTATTATTGTATCAGCACATAGCCTATCCTAATGGACACAGGTACTTCTGTGAAGAATAAAACAAGAGGAGGCTACACTGGACATTGCTGACTTTACACCTTAATTTTCTGTTCGTTTCATGATTCATCTCCAAGTTGGTGGTCTCTCTGCTATTACAAAACCGTGTGATTAAAGGATTCATATTGGAAGGTATGGGTAAAATTATATCAAATAGACAATGGTTATAGATGAATTGACAAACATTTGTGAATTCTATTTCATTAAATCACAAAGAAAGTGCAATAAACAATGACCAGAAATAAATGTCATGTGACATTCATGATCACTGGGGTCTGGAACATTCCTAACCATCACTGCTCACTCAGAAGACCCTCGATATTTTCCTTAGCAGGTTAAGACACTTCTTAAACCTGAGTCCAGTCCTGTATTTCAGGACAGTGTCTTCCTGACTTAATGACAAAAATGGGGTTGATACTCATCTCCCTTACATTTTCCCCTGGCACCATAAAACTAAAATAATTAAGAGTTCTGAAGTGGAAATAATTTTGAAAACATCATATTTAATTTTCCTTTTAAGCTGTTTTGTAAGCATAAAATCTTAACTTTGGTCATATCACACTTGACTTCCATGTGAATTTTAAGATCTTACTATCAACTTGAGTTCCAATTTCACAAAACAAGGTGGTTCTACTGATAGACTCAGCTTCTAATTCTTTGAAATATTTTTTGATTGACCCCTCTTGAGGTCAGTGGTCAACTTGCAGGCATTGGCTCTCTCCTTCCATCATGTGGGCCCCAGGAATCAAACTCAGGTCGACAGGTTTTGTTTGTAGTACCCTCTGAGCCTTTGCTGGCCTGGCCCTAAAGCCTATATTCTTCACTGAATCCACCGTAGTCAGGAGAGATCACATGATACAGAGCCAGAATTTTCCCAGCTGAAAGGATCTTGTGCTAACCGTAGCAGAAGATGCTGTGGCTGGCGGGAGGGGCTGACAACTTTATAGAAGCAAATTACATATTCTGGAATTCCACGAGAGATTTGGTGACAGTTTCATTTCATTTTTATTTGTTGACTTCTTTGATTGCTAGTAATCATGAGTGGAGATAAATAGCAGATGCCAAAACAAAAAACTACTAAATAACTTAAAATGAAGGAAAATCATATCTGCTGCATTTGGAAGACGTAGATTAGGAACTGGTTTTCAGCCTGATGAATTCGTGTAATGTCGAGTTAGTGAGATGTCAAAAGTAGAAGTCACATGGTCTTCTCTCAGTGTTTAAGCTACGTCCCACGGCACAAAGAGGACATGGATGAAGCCGAGATCCTGGTCCCCGCTGTTCACTGATGCCCTTCTCCCTTCCTGTCTGAGGATTCCATGAACAGAGCCTGTCTCTCTTTAGCTACCATGGGGCGCTATCTGTGGCACTTGGCTCAGTGGGCTTTGTAGAGGCTTCCAGTATGAGATGGCTTGGCGTCATGGAGGAACAGCTTGGGCAGGAGGGGTTAATGTGTGTGAGTGGTGTCTCTCCAGTTTGCCCATCACTGACAGTGCTGTGCAGGCTGGGCACCAGTTCTAAGAAGTAACTGAGCCGTGGACTATCAGTTTGCCCTCATAGGAATGCTCATAAGAGTGTGGAGGTGTGTCCTGGGAGCACATAAAGGACTTGTGACTTGCTACTCTAGCTGGAGCTGTGATTCAGCTAAGGATGGGACTCCCTCTTCCAAGTTTCAGATACCATGTTAGAAACAAATGTGAGAAAGAGACTTGAATCACTCATTACGTCTGAGCACATGGTCTTCTCTCAGTGTTTCAGCTATGTTACAGAACCCAAGGATGACTCTGGGTAGGTGAGGACAGAGGCAAGGTTGGGACATTCACAGCCCAATGGCTCTGCTGGTTCACTGCAATATTTAAATATTGGAATTCTGTGGACAGATACTCTAAACTTTTCAATTCTATTTATATATGTGTTTATGTGTGTATTTGTATGCAGGCACATTCACACACATGCACATGTGTGGAGGCTGGAGGACAACTTGAGGGAATCTGTTCTTTCCTTCCACTATGAGGGTCTTGGGGTTTGAACTCAGTTCATCAGGATTGTTGGCAATAGTCTTTATCTGCTGAACCATCATGCCTGTGTTGGAAAGGTATTGTAACCATGGTTTCTATGACTAGAAATATTTGATGTCTCTTGACCTATCATGAACTTCAGTTACTTTTGAACTTCAGAACCTCCAGCAAAGTTCTACCTACTAAAAACATTCACAGCCTTTCAAACAAGTGCTGACAGCTGGGGACCCGTATTGAAACCCATGAACCTATGGGGGACATTTCACACTCAAAACACAACAATGTGCCCAATGACTAATGCCAATCAGTGTTGTTATTTTTAACTTCATTAAATGAAACCTCACAGCCTTCCTAAGTAAGCTGGGTTTAGAGAATGTGCTTTATATAAGACTGTAATTCCTGTGGTGTGTGTGTGTGCGCGCATACATGCGCTCGCATGCACACAAGTACAGTTTAAGTGTGTTTTGGAAATCTCCAAAATCTTAAGTAGAACAAAGGGAGTAGTTGGTGCTAAGGCCAACCCTGAGTGAAGACAGTGTCTTCTACATCACCAGCTGCCCTACCTCCACTCCTATGCTTCAACTGCTGCTCCTCATCCTGAGCTCTGCCTGGACACCCTTTAAAGTCAAGACCCTTTCTTTCACTACTGCAGGACAGTGTTGGGAGATGATGTTCCCCATTTTTGAATAGCTGAAGTGCATTATTAGGCTGGAATATAAATGCAGATACATCTTAGTCTATCTTTTTTTTTTTTTTTTTTTTTTTTTTGAGACAGGGTTTTTCTGTGAAGCCCGGGCTGTCCTGGAACTCACTCTGTAGACCAGGCTGGCCTCGAACTCAGAAATCCGCCTGTCTCTGCCTCCCAAGTGCTGGGATTAAAGGTGTGCGCCACCACTGCCTGGCTTAATCTATCTTTTTAAAAGACTTTTATTCAGGGTATCACTCCACAGTCCCCTTTCTCATGTGGCAAGTTTCTGCTTGGACCATTGAAATATTTTTCTACTAGTTGAGCCATTGTTGGGACTATTTACTTTTATTTTTCTACCCTGGGAATAAGGGTAGATTGGTGGTCTCTTATCTCTGAGAAGGATGCTTTTGCAAATTGCTTCTTTCCCTTTTCTGGCTGCCTTTTCCTAGGACTCTGCATATAAAGTGGGAAGGATGAAGGGAGCTTTGACAAGACCTAGTGAGAAACTCCCAGACCCTCCAATTTTCTGGAGGAACCATTCAACCGATTTTAAGTCTGCTGCAAGGTGATTTGCTCTGTTAACATACTATCACTATGACAAAATACTTGAGGAACTTACAGGAAGAAAGACTTATTTGGGTTCCTATTTCCGAGATTTCAGTTCATGGTCACTTGGGTCCATTGTTCTGAGGAAGGAGTCATTGTGGGAGGGTGTGGTGGAACAAAGCCATTCACCCCTTCACGGTAGTTAGCAAAGGAGAGCAGCTAGAGACCAAATGCAGCCTTCAAGGACATACCTCAGTGACTTCCTTCCTTCAGCTGGCGTCACCTCCTACAGCTTCCAGCATCTCTCAATTGCTCATAAACCTCTGAACCCTTCATGGGATCAATCTATTAATGAGATTAGAGCCCCTGTGATTAAATTACCCACCCAAGGTCACCCCTGAACATGATTGCTCTTGGGTCTAAGCTTTCAATGTTGGGGGTAATGTCAGATCCAACCCAGGATGCTTGCTGTCTCCAAGCTTCTGGGCACTCTCCATGCCTTCCTTTTAAAGCACTCATCACGTTTGACTCTCCTGTGTGTTCTCTAACTTTGTCTAGAGCTCTCCTGTCTACCTAGAGGCCTGATAATGGCCTGGAGGCCCTTTCTTCTAATCACCCGCCTTCCCTGGAAGGGAATTGTGCTGCAGGATTTTTTTCCCTGGACCAACCACTGCTCTCATTTCTAATGTTATTATATTTAATATGACTCCACTCTATGGCTTTGTTAGTAGATATTTAATGTTCTTGTTGCTTTGGAGTTAGAATTCCAATTTAATTGGACAAACCTTGGCCTGTGGAGAACCAGCTTTTCAGCCTGCCTCTGCCACTCATTAGCACCCGAGGGTAGCTGATTTTTGTTCTTTGAATCTGTTCTCACATTTGTCAACTGCAAAGAGGAACATTCCCTTCAAAGAAGGTTGTCAGCATTATGAGAAATAACACATATTAAAATAGCGTAACAGACATTACAATACGTGTGTGTGTGTGTATTGTATATTTTGTTTTTGTAATCTAGCACTCTGATTTCTTGCCCTTAAGACTGTATGAACTGACAACACGACCGCTCCACAGTATGATCTAGGGGAAGATTTTTACTGAGATATGCAAGAGAGAACAGTCAGAGGCATCTGTCAGTGTCCCGAGCAGAGAGAGAGAAAGACTGAACTCGGCCAGCAAACTGGACCTGACCATGAAAGAGGCAGGAGCAGAGAGAGGACAGGGAGAGGGGACGTGGAGAGAGGGAGGGCGTGAGGAAGACACAGGACATATCGAAAACTGCAGGATTATAAGGAGAATGAGTAGCTGGTGTGTGTGTGTGAGTGTGTGAGTGTGAGTGTGTGTGTGTGTGTGTGTGTGTGTGTGTGTGTGTATGTGTGAGCTGGAGGGAGTTTGAAGTAGGGGAAGAGGTGAGAAGGCTAGCATGTTAGCACAGACTGTGAAATGTCTAACTTGTGATACTGAGGGAGCCTAAAAGCTAACATGTGCTTAAGTATGCTAATAGACACCACAGTTAGCCATTTGTCCCTCCTGTCTTTTGGAATTTGGGGATAATAGAGTTTCCTTTGGGCCCCACATAGACCTATTCACCAATAACTTCCCAGAAAATTTGATTTCTATTTCCCAATTCCTTAGGCGCTGTCTGCAAGCAAAATGCCCTCCAACTCTGTCTAGGCCCCATGAAAGTTAGATTGACATGGCCTGTTGACACTTTCAGATCCCCTTGCAGGGAATAACCTTGTTAATGAGCCACGATTACAGAGCTGTACATTGGCATTCAGGAGAGGTGTCACACTCAGCGCATAGGTGGCAGCTCATAGGTACAATCCTTCCAGGGTGTGTGTGTTGACCCCCCCAACTTACACCCCCCTAGATTTTTCTGTCAACTCCCTAGAGTCACATGGGAAGAAAGAAGCTTATTTGAAGAATTATCTCCCTAAATTAGCCCATGGGAATATCTACGAGAGGCTATCCCGAATGATCATTGATATGGGAGGGCCCAGCCCACCGTGGGAGGCGCTATCCCTAGGCAGCTGGTCCTGGGCTGTATAAGAGAGCTGAGAGCAAGCCAGTAGCACTTCAGCATTTCTCCATGGTTTCTGCTTGAGTTTAGTTCCTGCCCTGACAATTTCTTTAATTTTTTGAGATTATAATATAATCACATCATTTGCCCTCTTCCTTTTCCTCCCCCAAACCCCACCCACATACCATTCCTTGCTCTCTCTCAAATTCGTGACCTCTTTTTAAAAAATTGTTATTACACACACACACACACACACACACACACACACATTACTAAATAGTAAATAAGTGCAACCTGCTCAGCCTGTATAATGCTACTTGTATTATATGTTTTCATGACTGACCATTTGGTATTGGATAAGCAATTGGTGTGGTTTTCCATGGGGAGATTATTTCTCCAGCTCTCAGCGTATTTTAGTTGCCTGTGGTTCTGTGTGTAGGGTTGAGGCCTCCTGGGCTTCCCACTAGAGCATGTTTGTTGTTTTTGTTTGACTCATGTGTAGTGGTCATGTTGATGAGACTTTATGGGTGTGGCCTTTCACGTTCACGTTTCTAGGAAATATAATCTCACAACAGACTCCATGTTACTCTGGCTCTTAGAATCTTTCTGTCCCCATTTCCTGAAATGATCCCATTAGGTGTAGGTATTGTATTATAGATGTATCCATTGGAACTAGGCTTCACAACTGTGCATTTTGATTGGTTGTGGCTTTCTGTAATGACCTCCATCTGTTGCAAAGACACATTTCCTTGATGATTAGGGAGGACTATTATTATCTGTGGTTATAAGGACAAATATTTAGAATGTAGTTAGGAGTTACGCTCGCTTAGTAAAGTGGCAGTTGTAGGTTCTCATCCGAGATCAATGATGTCACTAGGCCTAGTTAGTTGGCTAACTTTCCAGTACCAGGAATGGTTGCCCACTTGTTGAGCAGGTCTTAAGTCCAATAAGAGGAATATTGGTTACTGCCAAGGTATGGTAGTACCTTGGTATGGTGGTTCATAGATAGCATTTGGGTAGGACTGTTGGCTGCCCCACTGTTTTGGAAGCTTGCACAATGCCTCTGGTACCATCAAAGCTAGCCCTCAGGGAAGAGGCTTTCAGGTCAGTTCCAGCTCTGAGGCCTCTGGGCCCTGTGTCTGAAGTGCATAGTATCTTCAGCAATAGGGAATTACCTTCCTCCTTTTTTTTTGGGGGGGGGTCACGTTAGGGACATAGCAATAGTTTGTAATGTTTTGGGAGCCTCCTCAACAACCTAGTCAGACTGTTTTATAGTAGTAACTGAAACCGAACTAGAACACTGGCCAACTTGGGACCAGAGGGAAATCAGTAGAACATGTCAATAAAAGGAGAGCTGGGCTTTTCCTGTGCTCGGATGGAACCCATTGAAGCATGCAGTGTGATCTGACCTGCTCCTGCCAGGAGATCTTGGGATCCCTCTAATAGATGAATGGTTGTTTTAATTCTTGGTTAGCTCTTCAGTGATGGCATTACCAGGATACTCCCTAATTCTTTCACACTGGTCAGTGTCATTGTTTGGATTTGAAATTTTCTCTAACGTCCCACATGTTAAAGGTTTGGTTTGTATGGTGACATTATTAGGAACTGGTGCAATGTTTAAGATGTGGGGCTTAGTGGAAGGTCTTTGGATCTTTGAGAGTGTGTCCTTGAAAGGGAGGAGACAATTCTGGTCACTCTCACTTCTTTAGCCATAGGGGACAGGTTTTGCTTCATTAAAGTTCTTGCCTTGGTAGGCGTCTTTGGCACACACCCAAAAGCAATGGGACCAGTTGGTCATGGACTGAAACCTCCAAAATCTTCAGTCCAGATAAGTGTTTTCTCTCCATAAGCTGGTTATCTCTGGTATTTGTTATGATGATATTAAGTTAACCAATATTCTACTTTTAACCTCCAAAGGAACTTGGGCATTTTTTAGTTGGTGACCTAAATCCTAAGACTCCTTCCTTGCCTGTTCTTTCTTAACCTTGGCGATCAATCATTGAGAACATATGACACCCCTCCCCCACTCTTTTATACCCCAGCTAAACTTTGCTACCCTGTGAGGAATTTCAGAGTACATGTGATATGCAGAAAGGCAATTTGCAGGAATGCTCCAGCTCTCAGAGCCCAGGTTGGCCAGGCTACAAGGATTCCATTCATTTCCAAGCCTGGCTTGTAAGTTTGCCAAGTACCAGCACTGGAGAGAAACTGAGGCCAAGTCCTCTGCAGCCACTAAGTTCCACTGACTTCTTCTCCTGAATCCACACTTGGAAGCACGTGAGACTCTCAAAGCCAGGGACAAATGTCATTGGTGGCCAGGCTTTCTCTCATTTGCCTGCAAAGACGTGTCTTTCCCTTGGAGCATTCTTTGATTTCTCTTTCCCATTAAAAACAGTCGGGTTCCAGTCCTTATGAAAACAGGAAAACCCCACAATATTAACTGATCCTGACTCCTCAGCTGGCCACAGAGAAGTCACCCTGTAAACATCTGTAGGACTGAAGTTTTGTTGAACTCACTGGGCTATATACTTCTCAGAGATGCAGCCCAGGCTTTCTTACGCGTATCTCACGGAAGACACATTCAGCCTTACTAGTAATTCTGTGGAGAGATAGGGGACTGTGCTCGATCATCCTTCCAAGAGAAGATAAAAGGTGGACTCTGATTTGACCAAAGCTGTGACCAAATCTGTGGTCAGATCTGGCACCTGTAAGATTAATTGTAACAGGAAGAGTGGGCTTTGACAGTGTCCTATACTAATTGGCCCTTCTGCCTTTTAATTGTGAGCTCAGGATGTTGACAATTGTTACATTTACCAAGCAGACCAGTATAGGATGCTCTGTTTTGGAGGCTGCTGGGGGCTTATGACTCCCTTAACTTTATGTCCCCTGTGCCTGGTCCTGAAGGATAGGCAGTGTTCAGTAAACACTTGCTCAATCCATGAGCCAATCAAAATTGGTAAAATATACGCAGAAGCCCTGTAGGGATTTCAGAGAGAAACATTATGGGACTTTCTCTCTATTTGAAAGATGAACATGGGAGGAACATGTAGTAAGTTTGGAAAACCTGAAACCACCACAGCTTCAGGAGGTTAGTGCTCCCCAAGCCTCTGAGAGGATGGACTCAGCTGGCTGCCTTGGGTCATGAAGAATCATTGTCTTACGCTAGCAAGTACAAGCCTGGGAGACAATGACAGTGGAGAATTCTTTTATTTTCAGAGAGAAGCTGCTGCTGCTGCTGCTTCCATGGAAATGCAGAACCTTGAAGTATCACAGTCCTTCCTGGGTCTCTGTATGATCCAGAGGTAACGAGCAACATTTCTTACATGCCAGGTTAGTTACCAGGATGTACTCGGAAGATGCACCTTGCAATTATCCAGGAGGAAGATGGAACTTATGAGGCGCTTCCCTGACATGTATCACCATGGAGCCACTGGGAGGGAGACACCGTGGGGCTGCTTTTCCACAGAAATGTCACCACAGCAATGGCAGACCCAGGAGATCTTGGAACTGGTAGATGATAGCATCACGTGCTCAGGAGAGACCAATCGTTTCTCTCCAACCACACTGAGAATGAGTGATGTCTTTGTGATCATAAAATTGAAGAGAAATTAAACTCCTCTGAGAAAGGTTGTAAGTCCCAATTACTGATTTCTTAGCTTCTGTTCAATCTTCAAGTTCTGCGATGCTTGCATAGTTGGATGGATTCACTTCTATGCGTTGAACACAACCCTTCCACCCTGCTCCCTCCTTTTCAGTCACTAATATCTTTGAATAAAGCACACGCATGTACACACACACACACACACACACACCCCTCTTGTCAGTTCTGGAGTGAATTATTTAAAATAACTGACTGACTGAATCTCTGCTTAGTGGGTCTCCAGCATTTAAGTCTCACTTAGGCCCTGACTATACTTCTTATTTCAGTTTAAAAAGGCATCTCCCACAGAGACATGACTGGAGACTGCAAAGGGCAGCTTTAGACGGATTTTCCTTCTCTGTAGTCGAATAGACCATCACAGAGGCACAAACCCACTCCAGGTGGGGAAAGCGCTCCTGATGCTTTTCCTGACTGAGGCTAAATTTGGCTTTCACACCAAAACCACATCAGCCTCAAAAAGAAAAAAAAAATAGTGACAGCTCTCCACTTAAGTGAGGAAACTGATAATTACCTCCCGGGACGGTGTGACAGTTATATGAACCTAAGGACTTAGCAGACAGTGGAGTTCTTGTGTGACGGAATGGATACATCTCAGTGGGTTTTTGCCCTCATGTTGCAGCATATCAAAATTACCCACCAGTGTGAGGGTGTCTGTGATTGTCAGTGTCACACCCTAACGAGGGGTGATGGACATGCTCAGCCTGTGGCATCGCTCTTTGTTAGAAGGCACTCCCCATCTCTGCTCCAAAGCCCAAGCCTCACGTCTCTCTGCACTGAGTATTCCCCTTTCATTAAGAGTATCATGCTGTTCACATAGATGCTCAACTCAGAAACTCTCTAATTCTCTAAGATGGTGGCAGCCAAATCAAAATGAGTGCTGTGTTGAAAAGCCCTTCCAGGGCCAGGATGGCCAGATCAGTGGACTTTCAATGTAGGGCAAGGGCTGTTGTGTGTGACTTGTTATAGGACAAAGAGGAAGTCTGATCAATCAAAGTGAAATTAAAAATTAACATGCTTCTGTTTGCTCACTTATAATCTTTGAATAGGGTCAATAAGCAGGGACTGTGCCAGCAACCTGGTTTGAGGCTGGCCACAGAATATTTCTGAAGACAGGTTTGGGTAAACAGGACTGAGGGCAGCTGGGCATGACTGGGGTTGATCACATATAGGATATGGACACTCAAATTGCTTAAACATTCCTTTCCAAGGGCTGGCGTTTGTGCTGCTGGTATGGAGGGTTAGAGAGGAACTGGAGTCTGGATGGCATGTACTCCAGTGGTTCACTCCAAGGAAGACCAAGGACACTAAGTGACACTTCTCTCTCCCTCTCTTTCTCCCTCTCTCTCTCTTTCTCCCTCTCTCCTCTCTCTCCCTCTCTTTCTCCCTCTCTCTTTCTTTCTCTCTCTCTTTCTCCCTCTCTCCCTCCCCGGGGGTGGGGGGGATATGGCAGTTGGAGGTGTAATGAAGCCGGCTAGGGATGAGACTGGTGTGTTTGTAGGAGACATATGGAACCAGACAAAATCTAGGAATGGCTTGTTCTCATTACCCCCTTCCTTTTTTGGGGTGTGTGTGTGTGTGTGTGTGTGTGTGTGTGTGTGTGTGTGTGTGTGACTCTATCTGGGAAGTAGATATTCCATCATAATTATTGACTTAAAATATACCTATTAGTGTTGTCTTAGTTAGGGTTTCTATTGCTGTGATAAAACACTATGACCAAAAATAACTTGGTGAGGAAAGGGTTTATTTCAGGTTATAGCAGCCATCCATCATCCAAGAAGTAAGGGCAGGGACCTGGAAGCAGGGACCAAATCAGAAGCCATGGAAGAATGATGCTCACTGGCTTGCTCTGCCTGACTTGCTCAGTCTGTTCTCTTATATCCTCCAGGATCACCTTCCCAGAGTGGGCATAGCCCACTGTGATGTGTGCCCTCATTCCCCACCAATCATCAATCAAGAAAATGCCCCACAGGCTTGACCACAGGCCACTCTGGTGGGTACCATTTTCTCAGTTAAGGTTCCCTCTTCCTAGATGACTGTAGATGGAGTCAAGCTGACATAAAAGTAGCCAGCATAGCTGTAAATGGAACTCCCCAGAAAAAAAGAAAATTGCTCCAGTGCTGAAAATTCTATAGGACCAAGTGACTGAATTTTGTCAATATAGGGCGTTAAATGTAGATTGGAACCAATTTATCCTGGGCTATTTTTAGTTCCCTTTGAAAGCAGTTCAGCACTATCCTGTACCCAACCCAACACCTCGTAACTATCAGAGCTTTAAAAGTATTTTTAGCAGGCCTGCAGCTCCCACCAATCCAAAAGCCAAGAAGACATCACCTAAAGCAGAGTTTTCTCCACTTGCTACTACACATCAATGGGTGGCTCCACCAATGTATGTAGTAAATGACTGATCCGTGACTTTCTTTGTTGGGTAACTAACAGGCTCTCTTATAAGCACTTCCACAGCAACCTGAACCCACGTTCCCAGGCCAGGATCATTCGCGTTGTCTCTAGCATCTGTTTTTATTCCCTTTGAGGTGAAAGTTGGGGGAGTTTTTGTTTGTTTGTTTTGCATTGGCAGCACAGTTACTATAGTTACTCAATAGACATTTGATGGCTGAAGTTAAAAAAAAGCAAATAAAGGACCAAAGAATGTGAATTTTAATTGATAGTCAATCTATTGTATGTAGTCATTGATCCCTGTCTCTAGCCCTCGATCCCGTGTGTGTGTGTGTGTGTGTGTGTGTGTGTGTGTGTGAGAGAGAGAGAGAGAGAGAGAGAGACAGTAGTTCTAAACAGGAGTGGGTGATGATATATTACAGAATGTGTGTGTGTGAGAGAGAGGGGTGGGGGAGGGAGACTTGGCAATGTTTCAGGTTGCTTTGGCTGTCATATCTTAGGGAATGCTACTGGGTTTTAGTGAATAGAGACCAGATATACAGCCAACCATCCTACAACATTGAAATATCTTGGCCAAATGTGTGTAGTGAAAGACTAAGAAATATTCGTATAAGTTCTAGTATAAGAGAACACTGCCAAATTGTTCATGGTGATAACTTATTCAGAGGAAGATGAAATAGGGTTTTGGAACACTATTTATGTATTGAATTTAATAATTTATTTATTGTTAGGATTCATTTTTTGGAAAGAGTCTGTATATGGTCTGGAACTTAATATTTGCTTGCTTCAACTTCCAGGGGAATGGAATTGCAGGAACACATCATTATGCCCAGCCTCTGGAATTTATTAGTTTTTGTTTTATGTGCATGTGGTGGTTTAAACAAGAATGTCCCCCATAGGCCTGTATATTTGAATGTTTAGTTACGAAGGAGTAGAACTATTTATTCGGATTAGAGGGGTTAGGAGGCATGGCCTTGTTGGAGAAAGTGTGTCACTAAGGCTGGGCTTTGAGTTTTCAAAAGCCCATGCCAGACCCAGACTCTGTCTGCTGCCTTCAGATTAGGATGTAGTTCTCAGCTAATGCTCCAGCACCACGACTGTCTGTGTGCTGCTGTGCTTGCTTTCCACTATGATGATAATGAACTAAACCTCTGAAACTGCAAGCAAGTGGCCAATTAAATACACTCTTTTATAGGAATTGCCTTGGTCATGGTGTCTCTTAACAGCAACAGGACAGAATGGCAGTGTATGAGTGTTTGCCTACATATATGTATCTGCAACATATGCATGCAGTATGCCAGAAGAGGGTGTCATATCCCTCAGAACTGGAGTTACAGATGGTCGTAAGACACTGTGTGGATCCATTGGAAGAATGACTCTCTAACATCCAGGTTCTAGAATTAAAAACAAACAAACAAACAAACAACAAAACCACCAGTGTAATTACATTTATAGTCAAAGTCAACTAGAAAGATATTAAATACTTCAGCTGGACACTTAGAAAATAGGTATTATCTAGATGCTAACATAGAGCAATGAAGAATCAATCGGTGGGCGTTACTCACAACTACAGAGTTGAGTAGACAAGTTCTCATTCAGCAGAGTGGAAAGCTGTCAGAGTTTCCTGAATATTGCTTCTCTTTTTTAATTAAGAAGAAAAAGCACTTAGGGTCCTCAGATCCAAATTACTGTTTACATTGGTTCCAAAGCAATGTTGGTAGCACTTTCTGTCTTAAGAGGAGGAAGCCCAAGCAGTTCTCAACTTGTGAGTGGCAGGCCCTGTGGGGCGGGGCGGTCAGACAACCCTTTCACAGAAGTTGCCTAAGATCATCTGCATATCAAACATTTACATCATGATTCATAACAGTAGCAGAATTACAGTACCGTAGCAGCAATAAAAGCAATGTTTATGGTGTGTGTGTGGGGGGTGACCACATCATGAGGACCTGTATTAAAGGGTCGGGGCACTAGGAAGGTTGAGAACCACTGCTTTAGAGAAAAGAAACTCTAGTCTGTGTCTGGCCTCTCAGGCACTCTCCCTCTCTACCGCATCAAATCTGGTCCAGCCTTTGCCCTCTGGGAGTGAGTTTCAGAGGAGAATGTGGTGGCAGGGAACAGACTCCAACGGAACCCTGTGCTTGTGCGGAAATTACAAACATCCGCGTTCACTGTTCCCTTTATGGAAGAGGAGACGAGCCCCAGGAGGGTTAAGTTTGCATGAGATTATACAAAGAGCAAATATCAGAGCGGTTCTGGAGCCCAGGTCTCTGTCCCCGGTGCTCTGGGATACGGTGTAGCTCCAGGACACTCCGATGCTCTGGGATACGGTGTAGCTCCAGGA